TTTTTAATAGATAAAAAGTTGAGAGGATTACATTTCTGTTGGGGATGTTTATATGCACAATTAAAAAATCTGTATATATTTTGTAAAATGCTGTCATACTTTTAAATAACTTAGAGAATCTCAGATGAAAGCTCTTACATAAATGCAAATTATAGTTGATTATATTTGAATGCCATTTTCCAAAACAGCAAGGACGGAATTAAACAACAAAGTTTAGGAGGCAGTAAAAGTGACTTAGAAATTCCGACTTGGGTAAAGGCAACATGGTGATTGCTCTGTTTTTGAGGGCAGTAGTGTCTCTTAGTTTTGATGGAGGTTGACTTGTGAGTAATGGGTTTCTAGCAGACTCAAATATTATAGCTTATACTGTAGAGGTTAATTTGAATTCAGACTCGACATGAAACTTTCTCACAAGACAATTTTTTTTTTACAGTCAAAAGAAAGTAGTCCCTTTTAACTGTGAGCAGTGGTCACAGTGTTTAAAAAGTGCCATGTTTATTTTGTCTATGCTGCTTTTCCTTGGAGGGTTTATTCACTTCATCTTCACCCGCCAGCTACATCCTACCTTCTCTCTGACACCTCATTTGACTTCTTCAGTCCGTACACAGTTGCACTTGTGCCATCCCCATGCACATTGCTCATGTGCATACGTAACTGCATTCTGTCCTGTATTCTCAGGTATTGTGTGATATAGTAAGGTCTCGTTTTGCCGAATGGTACTGGGTGCTCCCAGAGGGAGAGTGTCTTAACATTTCAGTGCTCTGTGCATTGTAGAGGTATTCATTATATATTTACAATTATACAGTTTATGGCTAGATGAGCTCTTCAGTGATTTGGTTTAATTGCCTTATGAACACGGAAAATTAAGTTATAGAGGAAAAGTAATTTATCGTAAAGGTTATGACCAGTGTTATGATAAAGCCAGAATTAAAAGTTAGATATCCTAGTTTCTAATGTAGTTCAGTTTCTTCCCTCCCTCCCTCCTTCCCTCCCTCCCTCCCTCCCTCCTTCCTTCCTTCCGTGAATATTTATTGAGTACCTACCACTTGCAAGGCATTTTGCTAGGCCCTGATAATGCAGTGTTGAGCCTGTCTTGGAACTTAAACCATGATTAAGGAGAAGACAACAAATAAAATACGTATACGCAAATTTCTTCTGTTTGTTTTTCTGAGACAGAGTCTTGCTGTGCCACCTAGGCTGGAGTGCAGTGGCCTAATCTCAACTCACTGCAGCCTCTGCCTCCTGGACTCAAGAGATTCTCCTGCCTCAGCCTCTTGAGAAGCTGGGATTATAGGTGTGCACCACCATGCCCAGCTAATTCATGTATGTTAGTGGAAACGAGGTTTCACCAGGTTGGCCAGGCTGGTCTGGAACTCCTGACCTCAAGTGATCCACCTGCCTTGGCCTCCCAAAGTTCTGGGATTACAGGCATGAGCCACCACATGCGGCCTTCACTAACTTCTGAACTAAATGTTGTTAAGGATTATCTAGTTCTATGAGAATAGACAGTGGATGGAAGATTTCCTTGAGAAATTGCCTTTTACTTATCTTGGCATCAAATTTGTATGTGCTTTTTTTTTTTTTTTTTTTGAAACAGAGTTGAGTCTGTTGTGCAGGCTGGAGTGCATTGGTGCCAGGTCTGCTCACTGCAACCTCCGCCTCCCAGATTCAAGTGATTTTCGTGCCTCAGCCTCCCAGGTAGCTAGGATTACAGGCATGCACCACCATACCTGGCTAATCTTTGTATTTTTAGTAGAGATTAGGTTTCGCTGTGTTGGCCAAGCTGGTCTTGGACTCCTGCCCTCAAGTAATTCACCTGCCTTGGCCTCCCTAGTGCTGGGACTGCAGGCATGAGCCACTGCACCTGGCCATGTATGTACTTTTAAAATGCCATTAAATTGGACAAGTATTTGTTGTATGCTCACTCTGTGCTGTGCCCCTAAAGAATTAGAGCTTGTCAGCCACAGCCCTTTTCATGTGTATAGTTAGAAGAGGAATACGTTTAGACATAACTATTAACATGAAACAAAGTGTAGAAGATTCATGGTTCAAAGAACACAAAGATCATATTGCAGGGGGTTGGGGAAGGAGGGTGTTGAAATGAAGAAGAACTTCCTCTAAGTGATAGCATATGATAAAACCCCCGAACAAAATCTCCTTAAAAATGAAGAGGGAAGGCATTCTAGATGTAAGAAAAAGCAAGCAGAGATAGATCAAGATAGGAAGTTACAGAAGTTTTCAAGCAACAGTAAGTAGTTTCATTTTACAGAAGCAGGCTCTTTGTGGAAAGTTACACCATTGAAAACATTGTCTTCATTTAAATGCCTTTAGAGTCCACTGGAATTAAGGATGGATAAATATTCTCTCTTGTTCCCATACTCAGAATACAGAAACTTGTCCTTTGTTTGCTTTTTGGTTGACACACACACACACACACACACACACACACATATACACACTCACTCACACTCACAGACACACAGCAAGAACTAATTCCCTCATTGTTGTATTGCCTGGCATCTCACAGGGATCTAATAAACATTTGATCATAATCACGAAAAGTGCCTGGTATCCTGAAACTTTTCTCTAGCAAGAAGACAACTGCTCTAGACACAGAAACAGAATTCTTCCAAATAACATGGCTTGGCGTAGGGTAGTGAACATCAAGTTCATTTTAGAAATACCGTCTGTGTTTGCCTATGTCATCATTTAGCTTTGACCCAGTTCAGAGAGGAATCTCAACCATTTCTTTCTATGCATAGTAGAATAGTTTGTCTAAATATTATTACGGAAAATGCTGGAAAATTATTCATTCATTAGCATGTGTTAACTGGTACCCACCTACACTTTTCCAGGGGCTCTTTAGGAACATAGTGCTTGGCCAAGCTTTTTAGAGGAGCAAAAGAAGAATAATCTTAGAATAAATGTTGTAAATGAGTGGCCCTGCCGTTCATTTCAGGCAAAACATATATTTTATCTTTTATAGGGTTGCCAAGATTCAAAACTTGAGGTATTTTAAAGAAAAATCTAGATTTTTGGCTTTCCTAAAAAAAAAAAAATTGGAGGAGCTGGTCAAATGAGCCTACATTTCCAATGGCAATACTTGTTTGGAGCTAAATAGCAACTGCCCTCTTTAATTAGGGCATGTATTTCTCTGTTTGCTGCACACAAGAAGCAGCAGAGTCAGATTCAAAACCTTGACTTTAGACTCAATCCAGTAGGAAAGCACCCTGCATATATCCCCATGCCTCCGCCACCTACCTCCCCAAGATTCGCAGGATCCTCAGGAGAACCCTGAGTAGTAGAGATGCAACCATGGGAATCTAATTTAGGATTAGATCAAGGGTGATCATTATTGTATCTCAGGGCACAGAAAGAGAGAACTTGTTCATATGCAATGAGTAAAGGCCAAAAGGGAAGGGTTGAAACTTGACATTAGACATACCCACAAAAGTTGAGCAGAGTGGAGGAAGCCCCATGTGCTTGGAGCAGATGGGGCCAGCACTGACCCTGGGGATCTGGGAGGTTCAACATGGAGTAATGGATGCTCTTGAGAGGCAGAGCACAGCAGTGGGGATTCATTGAGGAGTGAGTGATGCTCTGTTTTCAAAGGGCAAGTCTCAGAGGGAATGATGATTGAGGTGGGCCCCACCTGGCATGGGATTAAGGCATAGGACTACAGGCTGGTACGATCGTGGGTTATCCTACACAGGGACTCAGTACGGAAAGCAGCTACAGGGATTTATTTCCAAAATCAGAATACCAGCGAGAGCTGGGGCTTCTCAGTTACTAGATCTGATTGTCACAGTCAGAGCACAGCAAATAATAAAGGTGATTTCTTCAGTCTCACAGTACTGAGCTTCCTAAAACCTTAAGTCAAGATTAGTCTTTTGGCTGGGCCCTTCCCACAGAAGAAAAGAGAAGGAAGGTGAAGATTGGGAACCAGACAGGACCTAATATGGATTACATTTATTAAAATTCTATCTGCTTAATACTCTGTGAAATGATAGTTTGGCCATGATGTCATCAAGATAGCCATTCACTAACCTTGTTTCAAAGTTTATGTTTCTGTACAGAATCAGGACTGTTTTAATAATTGTCAGCCATCTGCCTCCAGTGTCCAACATAATTAGTTATTTCCGCTTAGTTGCATGTTTATTATAGGTATGCTTTGTGTATATATATTTTGCATTCAATAAATCCTAGTTTGATTGGGATTGTTAGGCAGTGGTGTATTCTGGCTAATTTGAGGGTTGACCATAAAATATTTTCGTTGCAATCTTATTGAAAGAAAGTCTTAATTTCTTTATCTCTTTCCTACTAAATGAATATAACCAAGTTCTTTTACATTGTTAGAAAATTAAATAGGGGGTACTCAATCTGATAATGTAGATAAGGCAGATAAAAAATAAATATTTTGCAAGTTTGCGTGCATGAGAGTGGACAGGTAATTATCATTGTTGTCCAGATTAAATTATTAATATTAATTGTTCTTCTAGTGGTTTTACAGCCTGTCATAAAAGTGAACTAGAGAAGCTAATCTAATTGAGTTTCTGCTTAGACATACAACACCCATTAACTGGCTATATTATATGTTTTATTATACTAAACTATAAACAGAGGGGATAATTACTCCTGCTTCCTTTTCTTTTAATAATATTATTTTAGGATTATGATAATACCTAAAAATAGTGGTATATGTAAGCATAACATTCTCATTGTTCTGATGGGAGAACTGAGTATGACACTTCCTCTAGTTTCCTCTAATCAATTCTAAATAACCTCAAGGTTTACTCTAGAGGAAAAGATTTGGGACTGAGTTCTCTCTAAGAAAAACAAAAAATGTAAAACATGACTTTACTGTAAACCAGTTTAAGGACCAGTATATGAAGGAGATGTTACCTGAATTGTGTGCAATATAATATGCAAACCAAAGATAATTTGGAAAGTAATAGAGTATTACAACTGCCTTTTTTTTTTTTTTTTTTTAATTTAAACAGGCTCATGCCCAATTAGTTCGAGAAGTTGATGTGGAGAAGGTGTCTGCTTTTGAGAATCCATATGTAGATGCAATAAAGAGTTTATGGAATGATCCTGGAATCCAGGAATGCTATGATAGACGACGAGAATATCAGTTATCTGACTCTACCAAATAGTGAGTATCCTTCCAGGAGGCCCTGTGGATTTTTTTTACTTCCATGTGGAGGTCTTGCGATTATCATAACTTCTTCATTCTGTCCTGTGTATGTCATATACGATTCAAACTTCAAAAGTTAGGGAGTATAGATAATAAACTTAGGCCAACCTCACAAATCTGGATTAGATTATAAGGAACTGGTTTCATGAGTCAGGGAGAATATTTCTTTTACTGTTTTCCGTTTGAAAAACAAACTGAGGACTCTAGGAATCTGATTTCACAAACCTGTCTCCTCCCTCAAATTGCAAACTAGCAATTCTCACAAATGCCATCATTACTTGAAATCTTTTAATAATTTTTGATATAAAATTCGATCTTATGTGCTAGAAAACACACACGTTTGAAACTGCAAACAAAAATATGTTTGATTATGGCTTCTTAAAACATCGGACTTCCTGGTTTCCAGTTTTCAGACCCAGCAACCTTGACTGCTTTTTGAGAGCCACTATTATGTTGATGGATAGGTTTTCCTTTGCATGAAAATTGCATGTGAGTCTAATTTTGCATACATTCCAGAATTATTTTGTGAGCTGTCAGTCAAACTCAAGTGTCCTGGGAAAGATTTGCAGCCTAGAAATCTGTTACTTCTCTAGAATAAGTCTCATTTAACAGAAAGAAGGTAAAGGTTTGGCAGTCATCAGATTACTGTGATCAGTGTAGTCAGCAGTCTAGATAACCAGGAGCATACGTAGTGAGTTTTCTTTTTGTAATATTTAGCCAGGTTTCTGTCTCCATTAGTTATATTAATACAGCATCTACCTCTTGTTTTGGTTCTGGGCGGGCAGAAGAATGGGTAGAAAATAATCAGCAGCCTTATGCCAGTTCATATGATAAAGTGATCCAGTGGATGAGAGCTGGCCCTTGGGAAAAGAGGCCCTGATGGGCTGCTTGACATCACTCAGAAGTGCATGGAAGATCCAAGAGCTATGTGACTCTGTTTTTTCAGTAAAATTATCATGCTTTTTACTCGAATTCCGGGCATTTGTAAAAGTTATGATTCGTATCAGCCACATAAATGTGGCCTGATCAAACTATTTCTTGTTTTCTTATGGTAAATTTGAATTATGCCATTCTGAAATGTGACTCAATGCTCATGAGCGCCATCTCTGTCATATTTAATATTTTAACTAGCATTAACTCCCTTGTGTGCCTCTGAAACGTGCGCTTTCTTCATTCCTCCTTTGCTCATTCTTCTTATACACCTTCATATAGTACTTCTCATTTCTGGTCTTTCTCTTCTGCCTTCTCTTCTGCCATTCTCCCTCCCTCTGTCCTTCTTCCCTTTGTTCCTTCCTCCCAGTCTCCTCCTATATAAGTTTCTGTGAGTATAGAGATGAAAAAGATGCATCCAGCTCTTGCCTGTTCTAAATTCTGCCCCCTCAACCTTTGACCAGCTGTCTTTTTTACTCCTGCCCCCTCTGTCCTTCTGTTTCTTTTGCCATTTCAAATTCCATCTATCTCCCCATGTTGCTGCTGTGTCTCATCCATTATTCCCTGTTCCCATTCATTAATGTCTCTCCTGTCTGCTTATTTACCCTCCACCCTAAGCTTTGAATCTCTCTGGGTCTCTCTTAACTCCTCACTTTGCTACTGTGGTGTCTTGCCCTCGCCTTTAAAACTAATGCATCCTCTATTATAAAGTTACTTTTACTGATAAATTCTTCACCTTGCATCATTTTTCTTTTAACCTCTGTCTTTTCACTTTTAGTTTGTCTTATCTCTTCCCCTCCCTACCTATTATATTCCTTACCTGTCATCTGTAACTGTTCTCCCTACAGAAGAGTCCTGCTACTGGGCAGTCAGAGCCCCCCAGTATCTACTAATTATGTGCTTACTAGGGTACATCACCCCCTTAGGATTTGCCTCCTCCTCCTGGGAGAGACCCTCTGGGAGAGTCCTCTTTGCGCTGATGGCACCTGTATTGGACTGTGGATGTGTTCTTGAGAAAAGACTTCATCACACTTCTGATGATATACCCTCAGTTTAGATTTGTGGATTTCTAGACATGAACCTGTTAGTTAGTATGGCAATTGGATGCTGCCATCCAATTCTTGATTGGGACAAGAGCTGTCCTAGAGAGTTTTTCCAGACCTGTCAGTGCTGTGATCCTGGGAAAAGCTGCTATGTTAGAATTCTGTCAGTGCAGGCTTAGTCTACCATAGAAACAGGGCACATTCCTTATGATAGAGCAAGACCAAAATGTGGGGCCATCTGGCACAGGCTGATCTAAACTCCTTCAAAAGATTATTCTTTAAATAGTTCTACATTCCCCTAGTGGGAATGAGGAGAAATTGATTTTCTAAATTATATATATCTGGGCCAGGCATGGTGGCTTATACCTGTAATCCCAGCACTTTGGGAGGCCAACGTGGGTAGGTCACCTGAGGTCAGGACTTTGAGACCAGCCTGAATAATATGGTGAAACCCCATCTCTACTAAAAATACAAAAAAGTAGTGAGGCGTGGTGGTGTGGACCTGTAGTCCTAGGTACTCGGGAGGCTAAGACAGGAGAATTGCTTGAACCCAGGAAGCAGAGGTTGCAGTGAGCTGAGATTGAGATCGATCACACCACTGCACTCCAGCCTGGGCGACACAGCAAGACTCCATCTCCAAAAAATAAAAAATAAAAAATATATGTGGATATACGTAACCTGAATCTTTTTTAACTATATGCTGACCTAATAAAGTGAATTCTAACAACATGTACTTAATATCCTTAGACATATCAGTATACATCTCTTTTTAAAAAGTAGGACATTTTCCTACCTAATAAATAATACAGTATTATACCTAAAATTAATTAAGTTCATTTTATCATTCTATACCCAGTTCATATTCAGGTTTCCTAAATTCTTCCAGAATGTCCTGTAGAAGTAGTTGATTTCAGGACTTTACATCTGGTTGTTATATCCCCTAAAGTTCTTTTAATCTAATAGAGACCCATTTTGGATTTTACTGGCATCTTCAAGAGATTGGCCTAGATTTGCCTGATTGCTTCTCATAGTATGATTTAGTTTGCTCCTGTATCTCATGGATTTACTATAAACTAAAAGTTATATTTAAAGTCTTTATTAGATTCAAGTTAAAAATTGTGACTAGACTGTATTATAAGTGATGTTGTATACTTGTTTATCCATGATGGATGAAGTTAAGATTTACTGCAGTGTTAGGGTAGTGGCACCCTCCATTATAAAGTTACATTTTTCTTGTCTCTTGTCGTGTTAGTTTGTCACTGAGCAATCTCTAGTTCTTCATCAGCTCTTCATCTGATGCTTTTATTTCCAACTGATAATAATTGCCAGAATTAATAATTCCATTAGAATTTGTAAAATAATTATTTTCCTGTCTTATCAGTTGGTTTATATTGACATTCTTCTGCATAGAAGATTTTATCTCTTCAGCTGGTGCTATTTGATTAATCGTTTGAACAAGGACATGTTGAGAAAGAGGAGGTTGTCTTGACAATTAGAGTAAAACAGAAGGCGTAAACTGAACTCTCCAGGACAGGCAGGGATGTTTGGTCACCTTAGCTAAGTGAAACCAAGGCGGGAAGGTTTGTTTCCTTCATTTTCTGTAAAGTACTCTGTTTACTTAAAGGGGAGTAGAATCCATTTATTCCTGCCAGTTATGTAAGAGGTTGTTTGTATAAACCAGAGTTAAATGGACCCACATTTCAGGTCTCCTCCAGGGATGTTTTGGTATTCTCTACACATCAGTGCCCAAGCAGCCTGCCTGGCTTGCCTTATTCCCACTGTGCCAGGAGGCCTGAGTGTTAGTAACTTTATTCTTTCCTGTCTTAGTAGTGAGCACTTCACATTTTCCTTAACCAAGTAAAACTCTCAACAGAAATAGTAGCTGTGGTGTTGTAGAGTCATTCATTTGCCTCTGTGTTCCACATGTTTCTCCAGTGTAGTCTCATCGGTTGCTCCAGGAACTGGCAAAGATGAAGATCCCATATACTGGGCATCACTAATTCCCAGTACTAAACATGTTCACAGATAACTCAGAATAATTCCTTTCTCTGTGTTGTGATAATTGTTATCCCTTTTCCTTTCTGACTTTTTTGTGTACCCCCAGTACATCTTCAGTATGTTATCTGGCCTCCTTTTCTTCATATACGGTTTCTGCGTTGTTGTTCCTATCTTTATAATAAATACATACTTCATTGTTATTCTGGACCTACTTTCTTATTCATTAGCACCACCTTACAGAAATATTTCTGAACTTAGGACCAACTTCTTTTGGTGCTGCCTGTGTCTAGTGGCAGGACTTTAGTATAGATTTAGGGGATGCATAACATCTAAATCTCTGTTAGTAGGAGAATCTCCCTGCCACACACACCTGCATAGTTGCAGTTCTTTCCGCAGCTCTGCTGGTTGTGAGATTCAGTGCAGGCGACTTAAAAAGAATACTGGGAGCAGAGACCAAGCATGCCTGTCATCTTTTCTCTCTGATGAACTCCTGTTCATCCATTGAGACCCAAATCAAGAGTCGCTCTTTCTGAAAGCCTTGCCCAACACCAGTGACAGTAAATCACTATGTCATCTCAAAACAGTATATATCTCTCTTATTTCAATCATGACATTTACTAAAGTGCCTCTCTCCTCTACCCTCAGTGCCTGACAGTAGTGCTCATGTTTGACTTTCACAAGGTGACTGTTTCGTGAAATAATAGATGGATAATTTCTGCTATTTCAGTGACCATGGTATAGGAACCATCTCTCTCTGGCTGTTATAGATGAACTATGAAGCTTCAGAACCGAAGGCATTCTAGTCTTTTTTTCCTTCTGTTGTTGAAGGTCTGGGATCTGAAAAGCCTTATTATCAAAGAGAATAATAGCTGCCATTTACTGAACATTTACTATATGTTAGATTCTGTGCTTAGTCATTTACATGTGTTATCTCATTTAATCCTCAAAGCCTCCTACAATGGTAGATAGTTCTTAGCATGGCCATCT